TCATCATTTAACAATTACAATTCAAACTCGGAGAAATTCAAAGGCCTTGTTCCCTCTCTGAAAACCATAAACTTGCAAGTATCTGCACGATCATATTTAATTAAAAAAGGGGAAATCCATACACAGAGATTGTACTTGAACATACCTTGCCAGTGTGCCTCTTCCTTTCCCTTTAGCACCTGGATGCATGTATTATTTTGTGGAGGTAATGAGCTCTGCCTCTGTCTTTCTTGATCTACTGGGAAAAAGAATAATTCTTCTTCAAGAATTACCACAGTCATAGAAATGCAAATTCTCTTCCAAGAAAACTTGTAGGTTGGCTGTTCTCATTGAGTGGAAGCAAAAGTGGCTGACACACTGCTGAATCCATGCAGTGAGATGAGACTCAGATGACAGCAGATGAGAATCCCCAGAGCTGGGATGGACACGGTTTGAAACTACTTAAAAGTTCCAAGAAAGAAAAAAAACCATTCCCAGCTCATAACTTTGTTAAACAAACACCACAGGTGATAGGAACTGATGGCAGGAAAAAGTAGGGAGTGTCATCCATCACTACTGATGACCAATACCAACACCAAACCTCTGGAGTTATGAAGATAAAAGACTGAAAGGAAATGGGGTTTGCAGACTGTCTGGATTTCAGCCACGTTCATGAAACACACACCTACTGCTGACCTTCAGAAGCCTCGAGCAACCAGAGCAGAGTTCTGGGGCAAGTCAGACATGCTCAACATTAGCATGGTGTGAATACTTAAGGGAAGCAAGACTTTTTCTAACGAACTTCTTGTGGCTGCTGCACAGTTCAGGTGGTCTCTTCTTTGCTATGCAAACCATTCTTGCCTGTTTTACCAGTTCCATGTGAGGGAATCTTCTTAACAGCTCTGCACTTCCCCCTGCCCCAAATCTAAAATATCTTTTGATGGTTACTCCTCCTTCCCATGCCTGCATCTGAAAACGACACAACCTACCAGATGTGTTGTTGTGGCTGAGCTTTGCTTGTGCAAGTCCCAGAAATGAGGGGAAAAGTGGGTATAAATTATGCTTGTGTTTCTTTGGTCCTAGAATGAGCTGCCAACAGTGCAGAGGCAGTACTGGCAGCTACAGGTCCCTGAGAGGTTGTGGCAGACAAGCTATGAGACCCCATATGGTATGAAAACCCACTTCTATGCACAGTTCTACAGGTATTGTGATATAAACAGTTGCATCTGCTTTCTGGCTGTTGCATGGCTAGAATAGTGGACGTGAGCTGAACTGACTCCAGGATCTAACACAAAGCTCTGTTCATTGTTCCCAAACGTTTATCATAATGGGGAAAATTAATCCTAGTTGTCTAAAGTAAGCTCAATAAAACAAGGAATGAATGCTACTAAGCAAAAAGAGAGATTTTAAAAAATATCTGTTATTCTGTGATATGTTCTCTGCTTAGCACCATTAAGAGGTAGTGCATATAGGCAGCATTACTAAGAAAATGTAAACAAGACAATCTGAACATTTCTTTGCAGAGTCAGCTCCATTTCCTGAAAAAAATCGGTGTATAGCTGTGCATTTAACTGGCATGTCCAGTTACTGAGACTGCACTGCAAGTGTTTGGAAGGAGTTTCTTGACAGTCCTTTTTAAAACCACCTTTTGACATCCAGACCTAATCTCTCATCAGACTCATCTTTGGCCTCAAGATCCAAAATTTTGTCAATCAATCAAATTAAGTGCTTTTACTGACTTCCAAAGTTCTGAAGAGAATTAAGGTCTGCAACAGTTTTCCATTCCCCTCTCCATGTGGTCTCTCTGAAAAAGGTTTTGACTGTTACTTTTGAATGCAGTGTTTGCAGAGCACTGTTCAGGAGCCAGGTCAGTTCAGGATACCACAGATGACAGGATGAACTGAGGTTTAGAGTCTCATTGAAGGTAAACCTGAAGTTAATCTCTAACGGGTAGAAAGATGAGCAGCATTCAGAAACCTTTCACAACTGACAACTGAAAAGACACATCCCAAAATATTCATCTTTAATTGACACATTGTTCATTCTTGCAGGGTTTTCTTCAAAGGAATTATCCTGGGAATGCCACCGATAGCATTAAATGATACTTATTTGTGTTACATCTGGTTTAGCCCTTTATTTATTTATATTTTACCTGAAAATGTATTTTCTTAAGAGACCTTGTTCACAGCATTTCTGCATTATCAGTTCATTTTGTTCTCATCTTTCCTGCCTATAGTAGCCAGGAAAAGGAATCCCCAGTCTGTAACAGACAGATTAATTCACATGTTTTACTTTGTCCACATAGAAAAATGCAATTTCTGGATCATTGAGGCATATGGATTATGAATAAGACACTCCAAAAACTAACTATCCAGACAGGGATATACTTACAAAAGTCTTTTAGGTCAAAGTCAGGATTTCACAACATAACACACTAATGCAAAATCCAGTAGCACCTGTAAGAGTAAGGTAGCTGCTGCTATCACTTGCACATATTTGAAAAAGTTTTAAGAAAAAAAGAAAAAGTACATTCTCCAGAGAACAGCAAATGCATTTCAAAATTAAAAAAAAAAAAAAAGGTTTTTTTTTTATTTTATTTTGTTGTTGTTGTTGTGTACTTCTGTTAGTATTTTGGTAATTTTTTTTTTCTTTTTTTAAAGACTGTAGTTGCCATGTAACAAGTATATAGGCGATGTGACTGCTTTACCCTCCAGTGCAAGTTCACGGTCATGTTTTCAGGCTTTAGTCCTTCAACACTGTTTTTTCATACACATATTCCCATAGTTTCATTAAAGATAAGTACAACGTATAATACCTGTATCTAGGAACGTAACGTTTCACACAGGCAAACTTATCTTAGTGGAGAGGTGACTGTAGGCATAGCCACCTACGCACGAACTTCAGGCAACAATTTCAAAACACTCACCTACTGTACATACACATTAAAAACAGTCTTAGAAATAGGATTTTATTTATATGTGCACGTATGTCCACCTTATCCCATATTTATGTTTGGCAACCATTTGGGAATTCAAAGGTGCAGCCCTCAGTAATTGCATTATTTAAGAAAAAGAAATGAAACATATCTACTCTATGAGAAAAGAAATTCTCAAATATCAATTTCCAATTTTAAATTTAATTTCAATAGGAAAATATTAAAAATGTGCACATCTAAATTTTTCCATGTTCTGTATATACATATGTGTGTGTACGTATACATAGAAATACTCATGTACCACACATATTCACAAAATTTAAGTGGAAATATTTCCGTCCACTATTTCCCCACATGTAAATGACATCATATCTTTAAAAATGTCAATAATAATATCATTAAAAATAATATTACATTTATTCCATCATCAACATTCTGTGTTTTTATTCTTTCTTCATCTTTATTATGTCCACTGAGCATTAACGGGCCCGATTCTCCTTGCACTTCTATAGATGTTATGCCAGCTGTACGTTGCTGACATCACATCAAGGACAGTATCTGGTTTAGAGCAGCTCAAGTGACAGGAGAATAAGGCCCAAACATCCCCAGTTAAGTTTAAGTTAAATTAAAAAGTAGTCGTATCTGCTCATATGGACCTGATGAAGATGTACACACCACCATCTAAAATCCACCAAATGAAAGACATGTAGCTCACCACAAAATTTTAAACCAGTAGCACACTGAACCAAGCTCCCCCCACACCTTTAATAAATAAAGTGAGAAAATACCCTAAAAAGATGAAGAAAACTTAAACATTACATACCACATAATACATGATGGCTTAGCATCTGACCTAAACCATTTTCCTGACTAGTCAGGGTACACCTGATAAATCACCAGTAAAGAAAAAAAAAAAGTTTATAGAAATAAAGCATGTGTTTCTAGTATAAATGAGAACCTGTGTGTATTACATGGTATATACACACAGCAGACACACGAAAACAAACTTATCTTTTCTAGTTTTGAATAGCAGTCTCTAAGTGGAGAAAATTGTGTTGTACAAATTTAATAAGCAGCTAGATTCCATGTTTAACATTCAAATTAATTTGGGGAGCAAACAAAGGTCTGTGCATCTTTCGACTATGAAGTCTGATGCTCATTCAAATGTTTTTAAAAAAGCCCTCTTCAACATTACAAGCAATTTATGGCAAGAATGTACTTTGATGCGAGACACATGACACTTGGCTTACCTTTCAAAGAGGTTGTTTTGTTTTAAAATAAATCTATTGTATAAAGAAATGTGTGTTGCCAAAAGTCTGTTAAAATTACATCAAAACAACTTAAAAACCTGCTCACTGAGGATAATTGAATTAAATTTCCTGGTTTTAAACATTTAGTTAACAGTTCAGAATATTGCCTGGTGTAGTTTCAACAAAGATGTGATATGAAGACCCATAAAAGAGTAAACGTGTCTCCATTCCAATTTGCTATGACAACAGAACTTCTAGAAACAGCTTTCTTGGCTGGACAAGTTCAGTGTACGAGTAATCGCTTGCAATAGCTCTATGCCCTTACTGCAGTCTGTAATAGAACAGTGCTCCCCATAAGTCATTATTCACAAAACCTGAAATTCATGTGACATTCTGAAAAAGTCTCCTGCAAAGCAGGTTAACAGTTAATTGAACATACATATTTGATACACTTATCAAGGCCAGAAAACAAACGACTGGCTATTCCTTGTTATCTGCGCACGTGAAATTTTACATTAAAAATTCTTAAGGGGCTTTTGCCTTCTTTTTTTTTTTTTTTTTTTTTTTTTTTTTTTTTTTTTTAACTGCGGGGACTCACCTTCCATCATTGGTTGGTTTCAAAATATACTTAAGTGGAAGATAGTATCTCACTGTAATTACATGGAATTCATATGAAAAAGTAAACCTTACATTGGACAATATTGTAGAACACCAGAGTAAGCTCCATGAAGAAATACGGTATCTTCCAGTTTAGATAGATAGATAGATAGATAGATAGATAGATAGATAGATAGATTTGATAGATAGATAGATGTAAAAAAAACGAAAACCAACCAATCAACCAAAAAAAACCCAAAAGGAAGAACTTTATACAAGCAGTTATAGTAACTTCATTTCAATTAAAGATGCAACTCTCTCTCACTCCTGGCAAGAATACATTGGTAATAGCACTGCTTCTTCCACAGTGCAAAGTATCCTGAGAAATTATTAAGAACAACAAAATAGAGGGCTGTCATCACTAAGTTCTTGCACAAAACACAGCAATTAATATCTTAAATAAATGAAACAGTGGATAACCTGTGTTGTGTCTATCACAAAAAAGGGGGTGTGACCTGGGACACTGCTAATTCTTCCACCACTGATTATTAGAAAAGGATTGCATTCAATTACTATTAATATCTTTCAAGTTGTCTGTGGCCAATAATGTACAAGGAGGTAATTTGTAATTCAAGTTTGTTTTGTTTTGTTTTGTTTTGTTTTGTTTTTTCTTCAACTAGCTACAAGCCAAGTTCTAAATTTTACATTGAAATATGACTCAAATTTAAAACAAGCCCTCTCAGAGGAGCATTTTCTAATTTTGTGCAACTTTGATGCAGAGCCCAACACAGTCCTATGAAGAGAGACAGTGCATCTTTAAGCTGATTGGCACTACATTCCCCTTTTCTTTAGCTGCATTCTATTAGCTTGGCCAAGTTATCTCGTAACTCTGTTAGTTCAAATATTTTTCCATCAAGAATTTCTAAAAGTGTCTTCAAGTTATTGCGAAAAGCTTCTTGCTCATTCTGACTTTTCTCCAGACGTTGCTCTAGATCAGACAGCTGGCCTTCCAGGTCTTTGTTTCGAATTTCTACTTCCTTCAGAGAAAATACATGACATGTTAATGTGTTATTTGCAAACAGAAAGCAGTCTAACCTCCTGCTGGTATTTGTGTGCTATTTTTGTCACCCAGTTTTCAAAACAATTTGTGACCCTTTACGGTTTCCACTAAGCCAAAACAAGAACCCAAAGCATTATTATGATTGCATATGTACTACCACTTCCTCCATTTCTTCAATTATTCATCTGAAGGGCAGAAACTTTTTGAGGAATACAATTTAGTCAGCAAACAATGGATGTGATATTCAGATAAGTCATTGCTTCTACCATTCAGAAATGTACCATCTACTGAAAACGGTGTCTCACAGGTTTACTTAAGTTCAAGTATTCCCTGATTTAGACAACACGAATTGCTCAAGGACATAATCCCCATTAAATGGTTTCATACAGAAAGGCATCCAGAACACTGCTTGGTGGATGGAGGAGTACTACTCTTGTCTCACATTATAGGTTTTTTGCCCTGAAAATTAAGACAAACATAAACTAGCAAGACTGATGTCAAGGTGACATTGATTATAAAAAATTTAAACCAGCAACTGTGAACTTGAATGCCTTGTCTTGCTGCACAGTGCCCTGGAGCACCCACCTGCAAGCCCCACAGCAGCACAGCGGTGAGAGCAGGAAAACATGCGAGCCACCAGCACCGTACGGACAAGCTGTTCCCACAGTGTGGGGGAAGACGAAGCGATGGCATGTCACACACAGCTGAGGGGATCTGGCCTTGGGCAAGCTCACTCTCATTCACGAGGAAGAGAAGCGTCCTGGTGCCAGCCTGCTGGGACCCCTCACAGCTCTGGCGTGCGCCTGACAGGGGAGGGAGGCCACGGCTGCTTTTGTGTATATGTGGTGCCCCCTCTCCCATCAAATGACTAATGTAGCAGTCACATGGGTCTGCAATAGCATATGGTTATTTGTCCCACTCATTGTATGTCTCATAAATTCATGCTAAATTTTGTCACTTCAGTTAAGAAAAACACTTTCAAAGGCAGCACAGGGACAGTGCATTTAGTACACCGTACACCCTCTGCAGCCATTCTCTGGAAAAATGCACAGTGATTCATGTTTACACACACTAACATTTACACAACACTGCTTCCCTTTACAGCAGCTTTGTGTCACAAACCTTTAACAGGCCTGCTCTGAGTTTTTGCAACTAGTTTCACACAGCCCTAAGGAGGGAGATTTGGCAGCAGTCACTGCTCCCAGCAGGAGCGACTCCTCTTCTGTCTCTCTGAGAGCTAACCAATATATTCACGCTTACACTGGCAGAGATGTCAGCTAACCATAAGGAACAACCTGACTCATACAGGACACATGTTTGGGCAGTTGAGAGTCACAGGTATGAAATGGCAGCCTTGGGCCAAAGTCTGTGCCCGAGACATGTTTCCACTTGTGAGGGGTATGGTGGTGGCATGGATAGGCCACTGCACCCCTAGCCAGAGGAGGGAGGGGGCGATCTGGCCAGCGCTCGCATTCAGCTTCCAGCCTCTGCAGTGGGGGAGAGCTCTGGGACGCCCAGCAGTGGTGCAGGTGTAGAAGACAGGGCTTTAGGAACTTGACCTTCTTATAACTGTGGTTGGTTGTGCAGCCAAGGATTACTTCCAGTCTGAACTGGAAAACCTCCCTTACTTCTTCTCTGCAAATGGGCAAGTTAAAAATTCCAGAGTTCTGGGCACGGTCTTGAACAGCACAGCTGAAAGCAGTGATTAAGCTTTGCTGCAAGGGCCAAGAGAGGAATTAGCTTAGTTTGTTTAACACTGAACAACACAGTTGCCAAAGCACTAAAGGAAGCTAACTGCAAGATTTGTAGAAACAATACAGATTAAAAACCATGCATGCTTACATAGTGATTAGCTATCTCACTACTGCTGTGAAGGGACAAGATAGCTGAGGATAGCCCAGCCATGCCCTCTGAAGGCTCTCCTTCCTTGAGACTACTCCTGCCCTCCAAAGTGAGCGCTGACAAGTACCAACCTGGTGTAGTGACTGCATGGGTTCGAGAGCATGAGCTCTCCAGGAGCTGAGACCAACTGACTGTAGTAAAGGACAAAAAGGAAAATTCAAGGTCCTCTCAGCTCTGCAGGAGTGACACAGTCAATCCTTTAGTTCCACAAAACCAACTGCTGTTTTTCCATGTTTGCTCACACGTCCTGCTTCTCTGTCATTGCTCCTCTGCTGCTCACCAGAAGTGTGTGCTTTAGGAAGTCTCCTCGCCACTGGTCTTATCCGAGAGATGATAAATTTCCATAACTAGGCAAGCCAGTGATGAAAAGGACCACTTTGGAATAAATCTTTGGGTACATATATTGTTTTATTTTGTGATATCTGGGCCTGAAGAGCACCCCATTGGCCTGTACCTAGCACTGAAGATCATCTTTCAATTCTTTGTCAGGTGCTTTTGAACTAAGGAATTGTTTTGCTGTGAACTGTTAGGGTGGGAGCACACATGTAAAACTGAAAACTTTATGTTTGATGCAGGAAATTCCATCCATATCCAGCAATTATTAGCTACTTAACTAGCAACAAGTTAACTCTTGTTGCTAGCTAGTTCTTGCCCTTTATCTCCTCAAATCTGAAGAGCACCTTTCTTTTTTTAAACTTCCAGCTTGCATATGTTAGTTATATTCCAGTCTTGACATCTCTTTCCTGATCCATATACATTTAGCTTCCCAAACATTTCCTCAGGTATACACTTCCTCCTGTTTTATTAACTTGTGTTTAACATATTCAAAGCAGAACTAACTGAAATATGCCAGGATCTGTTGCTTTTTATTTCTGGATAATGCTTCTTCCCAAGTCTTACATTTAATCCTTACACATATTTATCTTAGATTACTACTAACGTTTTTTTGCAATACTATCGCATTTCAAGTTCATGTCCAGCACATGTGCTGTGTCCTATTACAAAGCAGTCTAGCTCAAACCCCTTGCTTCTTCACTGGAAGAAGTGGAGAGGTATCCATGTAATATAACCTGTTCCCCTGGTTGTGTCACTTTATTTGCTGTTAAACTTAACCAACAATAAACTGACTCAGCCTCTTTGAAAGGTGTATTTTACACTGTTTGTTCAAGCTCTTCTTACAGCAGGTGCAATTATTTCTCATATATTGTTTTCTTTTAGAAATAAATATTAAGAAGCTGTGTTTGTTGTCTGCACTGTAACAATCTTTCACGGAGTTCAGTGCATGGATCTGAATAAAATTTTCAAACTATACAAAAGAGCTAAATTTAGGAATCAGCCACAGTAATAAAGATATCTTAACTTACTATGAGAGTCACATTGATCATGACTCAGTGATATGTCTTCTCTACATTGCTAATGAAATTATTAAGTAACAAAGTCCTTGATACTTACTTTTCTCGGTGATAACATATTGCTCTTTACTTTGCTAGTGATGGATTTCTAATTCATTCCCTGACCTATGTATGTCAGAAATGCAATACACCTTGAAAGAATAATTTTTTTGTATATCATTTTTCATACAGGCTATACTCCAAAATATTCTAGGGTTACACAACTCATTTGCAAGCATAAGAGAGAAAAAATAAAGCAGCAGAAAAAAGAGTGAGGCAAACAGATATGGACCCTGGAGACAATCACCCTGAAAACAGATGATGAGTCAACTAAGGGAACAGATGTGAGATGGTTAGTCTGGAGCTGCAGAAGAAAACACCATTTCACTGACGTCACGGATGTAGGCTGAAGTAGCTCAGAGAAGGCCAGCAAAATCAAAGCAGGATGATTATAGCAAAGCAAAGACTCAAGATCCTTCAGGTGGGCTGCATCAGGTCAGTAATAAGCTCTGAGCTTAAGAAAGGCAACTTTTAACTCAGATCCTAAATTTACTTGAACAGAGCCATACAGAACTATTTTCAGAAACTCACTGCCTACAACATGATGTATGGACATATATACTCATTATATCCATTTGGTTACTAAAGATATAAATATAGCAAAAGGAAGCTACCAACTTTACAAGGTCAATTTTAATAAAATCTTAGCACTGCTAGTTTTTCATCTCTTACTAGGCTCTCTATGGATGCTTGCTAAGGATAGCTAATTCCTGGATCACTATTACTCTTCATATGATCTCACACTGAATTTACTGCATATGCTACTACTAGAACAATTTACAAATTTCATTATAATCTCGCTTTTGAGTCTCTCAGGTAAATGTGGCTTTCCAGATGAGCACTCCCATTTAAAGCCAGCAACAGCTTCTAGAATAGTGAAACAGGCAAGATCAGGTGTACTCAAAACAGTCTTTAGAGACTGTTCAAAGTAACAACCTACTTTTTCCAAATAATCTGACTTAAGAATGGCACACAATGAACTAACTAGTTTTGTTCTTCTGTGCTTTATTCCGTAGGCTAAAATGAGATTCAAGGAAGTTCAAATTCACATAACGTATTCCAAAGAATAGCTGCTTTATGATTTCCAAGCTGTGACTAGTCTGACAGGGCTTGTTTTTCAGTGTGATTCAGGTTGAGCCAGTGAGGAAGCTCATGCTTGAGTTTCCAGTCCTATCAAAACTCTGAAGTCTGAATTCAGAGTTTAACCTACCTAAGGTTTGGCTCAGCCCCAGTTTGAAGGGAGGTTTCACAAGGGAGGTGTGTATGTGCTGGACAGTCAGCCCAGTGACAGACAGGCAGGAGCTCAGACGTAGCAAGGGAGCATATACTGAGGGCACACTAATTCTGGTAGGCTGAGGTGCCTGTCTTTACAGACAAAAAAGGAACTACCCAGAAAACGCAATAAAACCACAGTGGTTCTAAATCATTTTGAGAAAATGTTAAAGTGTGTTTTTAAGTTCTGTACTACACAAAAATGTTTTATCAGGGCATGTTTAAAAACTGAATAGAAACTCATTTTGACCTCATGATAAGCAACCTGATAGCTTCAGTGGAACACAAGACCTATGGGAAGACACTGCAGTGAAAAATGAGACCAGAACAGCCCAGGACACATGTCAATGAAGGACATCTGCTAGCCTACGAGTACCCTGTGGACCTGTAAGTGAAATTTGGGTCTGCTCCCTCAGGCAAAAGATAGCAATTTATAGCAAGTGCAAATTTTGATACAAATTCCTAAGGATCATCTCAACCCCCCCACTTTGCAATGCAGTATAACACATATTTATCTGGCACCTTCAGTGAACGTAGCACAAGTTGCTACATTCTAAAACTGTCAAATTCTCAAATGCTCACCTGATGATCATTTTTCCCTTCTTTCTAAATTAAGATGGACTGTAGCTCACCTGCAACTTCTGGGTCAGAGAATCCCTCTGTGCCTGGAGCTCTCTTGCATTGTCGATTTCTTGTTTCAATCCTTCTATTTCCTAAGGGAGAAGAAACAACCCTTGGCTTGGCCTCAGTGCAGATAAGCTGCCTACCACTTCTTTTCCTAAGAAAGCCCTTGTAATGATACCAGATCTGGCAGTTGGCTACTGCCCATCACAGCATATGAATTTTAAGCCCTGCTCTCAAAACTCTCAATATTCCTGAATCACAGTCCCAAAACAGCAATTCCATTGTGAATAAACAACAGAACAGATAAGCATTTTGTTTTATAAAAGTCCAAATTTTCCTCTCCCCCACAAAAGCTGTGACATATTTCTTTTTTTGGAAAAGAAAGAATCCTTGTAATTAGAGAAACAATTTATGCTTTAAATTCTATTACAATCTATCCTTATTCTTTTTTTTCAAGAGAAAAATCCAGTTTTATTCTGTGATCTGATTATTTATGTCACTAGCAGCAGGGCTGAGCATCAAAAAATTGCAACTTTTAGCACTGATTTCTGTAAAAAGAGTTTAACAAGGAGAAAGTAAGAAAGTAAAAAAATAACAAATACAGATAAAATAATCAATGGAAGAGAACCCATTTCTTAGCTTACTTTCAGAACGCAAGAATAGAAACACTTAGTTAATGAAATAAAAAGGTATCAAAGTTAAAATTATTAAGTACTTTTCCCTGGAAGGGCATATTCACCTCCCAAAACTACTTTCAGGAAAAATCTCTTTGCAGCAAACAACTCAGCACAGTTCAAGAACGAACAGGCACCAAAGTGGGAAACATTACCAACCTGAGGCCAATCTCATGAGTATGAGAGAGTTTAGAAAAGGCTTTGTTCCATTTTGGGAGGATATTCTGTAGCTTCTGTGCCTCTACTGCATCCTCCTTGGAAACACCTAAAAACATCCCCACTAGAGTTAAGACCCGGCAAGACTCGCTGCCCCTCCACTACACACACCAGTGCCCAATGCATCTGTCACAGAGGGCTGAAGGGGTCTGGTCCTACACAGGGCAAATAATTCTTCAGAAGTGGCTCTCTCCACCTCCTTTTCCCCGTCCATAGTGGGGTGGTCCTCCATCGTTCTGTGGCACAAATCTGCTTTCCTCCAGGACCCATGCCAGTGCAGGTGTTACTCCAGTTCCTTTTATGTTCTTGCTGCTGGTCCAGCCCAAGGCAGACGGCACAAAAAAACCATCAAGCTTGAGGGCTTGGCATATGTAAGGACTAATCTCAGGGATCACGGAAGTTGGCTATATTAACATAGCCTGAAAAACAGATTGGCTGGAAAAGGCAATGATCTATTATTTGTTCCAAGCCCTAATGTCCAGAGAAAGGAAAGAATGCTTATGACAGCCTCCCTTCTTAGTGAATCTGAACTGCATCCGTGTAATGTGGAGTCCACTTACGACTTACTTTTGCAAACAGAGATGCTTGGTAAAAACAAACAGGAAGACATGATACTTTTTAGTTGTTGTTCAGATACCAAGCTTTATACTGAACTCAGGTAATTATCTACACAGAGAAATATTAATCTTTTCAAAGAAGCTGAAAAAATTTTTCTTTTTAAATTCTATAGGAATTAATACAGTATTTACAAGCCATCACAAGACTAATACTGTGAAACTTTAGAAATGACATAACAAAAAAGCCAAGCATAAATGTTAGAGAATACCTCTTCTTTTTTCTTCAGCGTGGACTCCAACTCCTGTATTGTCTGGTTTAATTCTGTTTTATGTGTGTGGACGGCATTGGCTTGACTGCTCACACACTCTAGCTCAGTCACCTGTTAAAACAAGTAGAAGCAACACATACAGAATTTATTTCACCAAGTTCAAGGTCCTATTACTTCTTTGCATCAATAGCTGCATTTGAAATACAGATCTAGTTCTAAGGGACTTATGTTGATTGAAATGTTAAAGTTATTCTTACAAAGTCAGTATAAAATTCCTTAACAAATTGTTTAGCATAAAATGGTTGCTATGACTTCTTGGAAACAACAAATTTAGTATGTTGCAGGCTGAAAAGAACATTAATTAAAACTTCTACTAACCGATTATTGAAAATTTTATGAAAGAAGCTGAATTACCATTTCAGAAATGTTGATAGCTAGACAATTAAACACAGACCTGCCTGTCTAACTCTAACTAACATTTCACAGCCTCAGTATCTGACTCGGCATCAACAGTGTAATAGCAGACACTCAGCCACCAATGTACAGCTGCCAACTTCTTAATTCCTCTAGTTTTGGATCTCTCTCAGTCACAAAGCCAAAAGCTAATGGCACAATTTGGATTAGCACAGTTCCTCTTCATTAGCAGACAGCCAACACTCTCCATCTGCCCTTGGATAAGTTATCTGACAGTGGAATGCCCTTTTTATTTTATTTTTTAGTTGAAGAGATGTTAATATCTTGCCTTTTACAGAATAACAGTTGTCAAAAAATAGCTTCTTTACTGAAAAAATAAAATCTGTGCCGCTAGAGTTTACACAGCAAAGACTCTGTTCATGTGTTTTTCAAATTACAGATAAAACCTTTGGGAACTCTCACATTGCGTGTCTGTGTGGATGTGGGTACTAAATCCTATTTAATAACAAACTGTTAAAATATTAAAAATGCTACTTAAAATCTAATAACCCAGGGTTTTGTTTTGTTTTTTTTTTTTTTTCCAGAAGATATGAGCCTGTCAATCTTAGTATACAGTCTTCAGCAGAGTTGCATCATCCACCTCCAGTATCTAATTAACCTGGCCCCAAAACTCCTTTGAACAAAGTGCTACCCAGCTCTGCAATGAAAACCTCCAGGTCTTCATTAACTTTCTTGGTGAAGTAGCTGTTACACAAAGGGCAGGCATTCTCCAGGACAACTTTATTTCTTAGATAAAAGAACATCCCAAGGAATTAAGGTTGCTGCCCTCCAGCACCAATGGAGTCTATCCAGTTACATATGATGCCAATAATTTCAGACTGGATTATTTGTAGGCTTGAAAAGTAGATTACTGAATGAAAAGAGAAGTCAAGGGAAAGCCAAGATGAAATATAAGAAAATTAAAACAAAATCCCCACCAAATTCTCCTTTATGAGTCACAGGGCATGAAATTCCCCTGTGTAAGAGCAAGGATGAGTCTAGTTTCTTCAGCCAGAAAACTGTGACCAGACATTTTTGCACATCACATTTTTAAATGGAGAGAATTGATATTACAGCAAATTGTTGAGAGGGGTAAGGGGAAAAGCTGGGGACATCACCTATCTTGATTTCACGAAGGCCTCTGACACCATCCCCCATAGCATCTTCCTTTCTAAGT